CTTGCTCCAGCCTGTAGTACATCCTGGCATGGTGCTATTGCCCATTCTACCTTAATTGATAAACTTGTAATCCTTATAGAACTTTTACATTAATTATTATATGAAAAAATAATGGCCATAGAACATTTAGGCAAGTCTAAATTTGTACCCAAAGGAAGAACTTAGCTTGCCACATATTCTCTGTCCCTCCTAGTTAAACATCTCATGGCCATTGCAGAGGATATGTTGCAGGGCCACTGGGCTCTGCTGGATTTTCCTCAAGAGAGCCTATGTTTGTCTTAGCGTCAGTGTCTGCCTCAAACTGACTTGTAATTCCGGCCAGCTGAGCCCTCAGGGCTTGTCGTGTGCACTAGGTGACTACGCCTTGGAGCCTCCCATGTTCCCTCTTCCTTTGCCTGCTGCACTTGGAGAAACTCTTTCCTTGGAAGAGGGTGTTGCTCACAGATCCTCTTAAGAGAGGGTTCTTTTATTGTGTCCAGAATTTATAATTACTACAAATGAGAGGGCTGTTGCCGTGCAGTCCAGACTACCATTACTGTACTCATAAACTTTCAACTTTCCACCCCTAAAACTCTATGTATGTTTCACTAGCTTTACTTTAAAATTTATACTCTATGTATTCATTATTGTTCAATTCTAACTATTGTCTGATTTTACTCCTAGTATTTAGCTTATTTTTATAGAGGCATTCTTTATAGCTGGGAGGGGAAATTATTTTTTAAACTATGTGTGTGGCTATGTATACTTGAGTGAGAGTGGTGTCAGAGCCCGTGGAGTTCCACACAGTTGTGACTGGCCCAGAGTGGTGCTGCGGACTGAACTCTTCCTCTGGAAGAGCAGCAAATGCTCTTAACTGCTGAGTGGTCTCTTTAGCCCAAAGATATTATTTTAATTTTCCAAGTATTGTCTGGAGTTTTAAAACTTTATAAAAATATTTTTTTAAGTCAGTCTCAAACAGGAGGTTGATAACTCTGGCTGTGTAGTCAGATTCTATCTCAAAGCAATTAAAATAGTTTTTAGACTTAGTTGCATGGTGAATCAGAGAATCAGTGTAATGGACCAGGTATAGTGAGATTCTGCTGCTGTGCACTGGCTGCTTTGTAGTTCTTTTGATGTGTTCTTTAATATGGTGTAGATTTAAAAACTGTAATCACATTTAATGTGGGTGTACACATACACATGTATGTGCCACAGCATGCACATGAAGATCAGAGGACAATTTGTGGGAGTCCATTCTCTGTTTCCACAGTATGGGTCCCTAGGATTAAACTCAGGTCATGAGATTTGACAGTGAGTGCCTTTACCTGTTGAGCCATTGCACTTTTTTGAGGAGCAAGTCTAGGTGCATCCAGGTTAGAATGATGATGGTTTCCTCAGGAACTGGGTGTTTGGCATTGCAGTCAACTTCCTTGTCTGGAGAGTGCTCTGTATTTAGATTAATTTTGCTCCCTCACTCTTTGCTTTCTCTTAGTGTTTGCTTGGGGTAACTTCTGCTATTCCTTTACTTTCACCCTTTGTGTGAACTATGTGGCTATGTGGTGATGTAATTCAGTCTAACAATCTGCCTTTTGGCAAATTTGCCTTTTGGCAAGCTAATCCTGCCTGCCAACATTTCCAGCTATCGCAATCTTTGGCTTTATCCTTCCATCTTGTTTTGTTTGAGTTTTTTTCCCCCTCAATATCCCCATTCTCTCCCTTTTTTCTTTTTCTTTTTTCTCTTTCGTCCTTTCTATTTTTTTGTTTTGTTTTGGTGTTTTTTTTTGTTTTTGTTTTTTTTTTTGTTTTTTGTTTTTGTTTTTGTTTTGTTTTGTTTTTTTGTTCCTTCACTCTGCTTCTCTGATATCTTCCTTTTCTGAGTTTATTTTTCTCCCCAGAGCATTAAAAGTTGACCTCTACTTGTCTACCTCAGTGATTAGCATCCCTCTAAAGCATGCTTGAATTTATTTGGTGTATCCTTAAAAGTAATGAACAGTAGAAGGATCTCAGAATGATTTAGTTCTTACATTCTGGGCCATGTGTGTTTATAGACTGTGTCCCTGCTTTGTTGGAAAAAGGTTAGTCACAGCATCAGACAGTTATCACTGCCTTCAATACCAGTGTTTCCTTCCCTGTCTGTGTCCCTGTACCATGGCGCCCTTTCCCATTTCTCTCTATAGCTTAGCACAGTTTTTTGAGGTTGTTTTCTTTTTTTCTGAAGTTCCTCCTTCAAAGTTTTGTAGTTCAGGTTTGTTTGGGGGGGAAATCTCTTGATATTTCTTTTATATTATTTGCTGAAAATATTTTTGGTGAGCTTTTAATTCTGAGGTTACAGTGATACCTCTGTTCCTTTGAAAAACACACATTGCCTGCCCTCTGACATTCTTTAAAAAAAACAAAAAAACAAAACAACTGTGTGTATGGTGTGTGTGTGTGTGTGTGTGTGTGTGTGTGTGTGTGTGTGTGTGTGCATGTGTATGAATGTTCATGGGCATGGATGTGGATAAGCATACTATAGTGCACATGTAGGGGCCCTAAGAGTCATTCTTGGTTTTCTAGATTGTTTGAGACAGGGTATCTTTTGTTTCTTTCTGATGTGTGTGAGGCTGGCCCACTGTTACAGAGATTCTCTTGTCCCTGCCTCCCATCCCTATAAAATTGCTGGGATTACAGATGTACTGTTGCATGACAGATCTTTCTTGGGAAATAGAATACCACATCTACTCACTCCAGATAGGGAGTCCACAGTGAACCAAAGTACAGATGCCATAGAAGAGCAATTTGATGAACCAGTGAGTTTTTTGAGTTCACTTACAGGAATATGGGTTACTTATAAAAGCAGAAATGACTCAAAGACATTTGCATCACCAAAGCCCTCTCCACTATGGATGGCAGCTCACCAAAGCTGGAAACCTGAAGCACACTGCAGTGTGCAGGAGATCAACAGGATGGAGTCATGTTCCAGGTTGTTCAGTTGGGCTGAGCCTCTTCCATGCAGTTCATCCAGTCTTTATGTCTTCTAGATAGTTCAGCTGGTTCTTGCTTCTCTCAGGTGGCTGGGCTGGTTTCAGAGTCATCTTTGTGGCTTGTCTTGTCTGAGAGTGACTCTAGCATTCTTAATGTTTATGGGGAAAAAGAGGACTAGAGAATCTGGTTAGTTTCAGGGACTTCCTGAATCATTTCCTGTCTTAGTAGGCTATCCCCCCCAAATCCTGTCTTTTCACTTCCTAGTAAATATCATATTCTAGAATGTCCTGTTGTCTCTCTTTCCCTTTACATCCTATGTTTTAAGAAGTTGCCAACCCTCCAAGCTGGAAGGCAAACTTGGAGGGAACTGCTGCACAGCACCCATGTCCCACTTTATGTGGGTTATGGAGAGTCAAACTGAGGTTTTTAGACTTGCACGGTAAGTGCTTTACCGATTGAGTTACCTCTGTCTTTGATGCTGAGAGTCCAGTTTTCCATGGGATGTCTTTTACTCTGACACTTTGAAACACTCTGTGTTTTGTATTCTGTGGTCAGATTATGATGTGTGTTTGTTCTTTTCTGGTTCTCAGCGGGTTTTGTGACTGCATCTATGTCTTCCTGGGGCTTTCCTTTCTGTCTCTCCACATGAAGGCACTCTAATGGGAGCTCTCACTTTCTGGAACCTGTCATGGTCTCACCTCTCACTTTGGACCTGATCAAAGAAACATTCCTTCCATTTCTTGCAAGCTTATTGGCAATTTTAAAATGAAGTCTTGTCATTAAAATTCTCAGGCAAAAGGAAATAGAAGAGGCACTGCAGCTTTGGGGTTCAAATGGATGCGTGTGGCTGTGTCAGAATTCTGTACATACAATTTGCCTGGCCTTTTGCCCCAGTGCTGAGATGAGACCTGAAGTCTTGGCATGCTAAGTAGTACTCTGCCACTGAATTACACCCCTAGCTGTTATCTAGCCTTTCTTCTTTGTTAATGTATATATAACGTATCTGTGTGAAATGCAGGCATGTGCATGTCACACATATATGTGAATGTGAGCATGTACGTGCCATGGCACACATATGGAGGTCATGGGATAATTTGAGTTGCTAATAGTGTTCTGCTATGAAACCTCTTGGGTTGGTCCTCCGTAGTCCTTGTTGCACTCAGCACTGTCTTCCAAGCTCCTATTAGGATGGTCAATTAAGCTCTGCTTTACACCATTTAATCATTTTTCTAGCCCAAAGTTTCCAAGCCTTCCCATTCTCCAAACCCAAATGGTCAAATCTGTCACTGCAAGTAGTCTACTTCCTGGTATCAACTCCTGTCTTAGTTACTTTTCTGTTGCTGTGATAAAACACCATGAACAAGGCAGCTTATAAAAAGAATTTGGGTCTTATGGTCCAGGAGGGATAAGAGTCCTTTACCATCAAGGTGGGGAGCATGGCAGCAGGCAGGCATGACAAAGGAGGCCCAACTGAGAGTTCATATCTTAGCCCACAAACGGGAAGTAGAGAGCACGCTGGCAATGGCAAAAGTCTTTTGAAACCTCAGGGTCTGTCCCCAGTGACACATTTCCTCCAATAAGGCCATCCCTCCTAATTCTTCCCAGATAGTTCTATCACCTGGGGAACATGTATTCAAACATATGAGCCTGTGAACTGTTCTTAGACCATGATACATTCTTTGGATAAAAGCTATGATTAGACTTTAGATGGCTTCATTGAACCTCAAGAACACAGAACAAATAAATTGAGAGTTGCCTGAATATAAATACAGGCTTGTTACTACAAGGGGTAAGACATTGGTAAATAGGATTATGAGGTTTCTCATGAGACACAACAAAGAAGGTTGTGTCACAGTATTATTGCTAAAGCTTCCCATTATGTTATGGCCTTCTGCAGCTGAAAACCATTAAACGTGTCTTCCACTTTGTAATTGTTCTACCCAGATGTTATAGTTGAACATCTGAGATGTAAATATGTTTAGAGTAGGGGTTGAATTCAAGGAGAAATACAATATGGATAGTCCAGCATATCAACACTGTATTCTTTTGCATTTCAGTCTAATGCTGATGTCCCTGTACAACGTGAGCATCAATTCAAAAGGCTTGAAATACATCAGTGAGAGTCCTGGATTTATCCCTTTGCTGTGGTGGCTTTTGAGTGGTAAGGAGTATTCTGTTATGTTCTTATGTAGTCATATGCTCTACCTCCACAGCTGGAGGAGGTTTTGGTGTATTAGAAACCAGGAGCCATTATCTTACACTGTTTCCTCTTTTAACAATGACTTTTCTCTTTTGTTGGAGTGGCTTCTTATGTGGTGGCAACTTTCAAATCTTGCTATCCTCAGACATTGGATTCTCAAAGCCTGTCCCTGCTCCTCCACCAAATGACTTTCTATTCTAGAAAGCCAACTGTGTGTTAATGGTTTCTATTTATGTTTCTCAGCTATTGCTTTTTGTTTTAGCTGTAACCTTTGACACAAAGATCATTTTATCAAACAGTACCAATGTGCCCCTTCTCTGAAAACAGAATAGTAGGTATGTGGTGGAATAGTAGGTATATGGAAGGAAAAATCTGGATGTCTGGACAAAGTGAGATAGGAGACACCTGAAGTTCCATATCTTGTTTACCTTTACCACTAATTTAGCCTAGTCTCGTCCTAATTTCATCATAATTGTAAAGTGACAAAAGATGGAATTTTCATTTCTTTCACAGTTCAAATTAATCTGTTTTTGAACTTTAGTTACTCTTGATATGAATACTTTTTCTAACATTTAATTAAGATCCAATAATTGCATATGCCTTAAATGAAAAATTGATCATTTGAGTATATATACATACATACATACATACATACATACATACATACATACATACCTACCTACCTACCTATAAAATCATTACTGTGGTCAAAGTAAGTAAAGCATCATCCCACAAGGCACTTCCCCCTCCCTCCCAACTGCCCCTCACTTTCCAGAGAGCCACTCATCTCTTTTTTGCATTTAGTTTCTATTTTCTGTAGTGATTCACTGCTTCCTGTCATACACTATTCAGTTATGCAGATGAACTTTTGGCTTATTTATACAGCTTTGACAGTTACAGAAACAAATTCTGGAGTTTTTCTTGTGCATGGAGATGGGCTAGCATTTCTCTTGGGTAGGCACAGAATGACTGGGTCACATGGAAGAGGCATGCTTATGTTTTTAAACTGCCAACTGCTCTGCCATTCACACCCCCACCAGAGGATACACTACCAGCTGCTTGTCCTCACAGTTCTTGGCCTGCTTGTACCATTAGGGTTAGATATCCCAATAGGGATGTCTTGGTACCACATTGCTTCATTATTACTAATAGTGTTTGAATGAATGAAAGAAATATAAAAGGAGTACATGGCTGCTCCTAGGTATGGTAGACGTGAAGGTTTATTGTAGATATGAGGGAGAGCATCACCAGAGGCAGAGACATCTTGGAGAGCCCAGAATGAACATCACCCTGAGCTGGGCCATGTGAGGAGAGACAGGAGGGGAGAGCCAGAAGACCAACAGGCCAAAGGGCAAAAGGGTGAAAAAAAGAAGGAGGAGAAGGAGGAGGAGAAGAAAGAAAGAGAAAAAAAGGAGACTGGCATAGTCAAAAGGACTGAATTATATAGGGAGGGGCAGCCCAACCCAGTCCTTGGACTGGAGAAGATTAGGGTAAGGTGCAGAGCATATTGGCCAGAACCCTGTAGCAGGTAGGGTCTGAGGGATGCAGAGGAAACCTGGTGGCCAGGACCCACTTTGATATGTTAAACAGACACCTCAGCCATTTGCCCTAGGTTTGAGACCTAACAGTGTTGAACATTTTTTTCATGTGTTTTGAATCAATCTTAATGGTGTTGTCATCTTAAGAAGCATAAATCCTTAGGGGCTAGAGAGATGGCTCACTGGTTAAGAGCACTGACTGCTCTTCCAGAGGAACCAGATTCAATTTCCAGCACCCACATGGCAGCTCAGTTCCTGGAGATTCAGTTCCTGGGGAATCTGACATCTTTACACAGACATGCAGGCAGGCAAAACACCAATATACATCAATGTCATTAAAAATTTTTAAAAATGAGTTAGGTGATGCATTCCTTTAATTCCAGCACTTGAGAGGCAGAGGCAGCTGGATCCCTTGAGTTTGAGGTCAGTCTGGTCTACAGAGTGAGTTCCAGGATTTCCAAGTTGTTTGGACTGTTTCAAAGGCCTTTGCCATGAATTTGAGAATAAATGTGTCACTTAATACATAAAAGAAATCCATTTAGAAATTTTATTGGGCATTTGTTGAATGGGTAGTTTATTTAGCGGAGAATCGACATATTAGCAATATTGAGTCTTCTAGGTCAGGAGTCCAGGTGTGTAGGGAATTCTCCTATGTGTGTATGACTTAGAGATAGGGTGAACTGACATGCTTGGCTTGAGGATGTGTGTAGAGTGACCATCTTTGCAGTAGTCTCTCCTTCCAGAGCAGAATGTGATTGGCACCTTTGTAATGAAGATGTTTAACTCCAGGGCACAGGTCAGGCACACTACTATCCATGTGAAGAGATGTGGCTTCTCTGAGCCTGAGGTTCCTGTGCTAAGACATAGTCTATGTCCTGTACAAACATGGATATATGCTGGTTGTAGCTATTACTAAGAAGTTTTGTCTCAGACAGCAGTGCATCTTCTGTTAGCATCCTTCAAAAATGTAGCATACAGCTTGTAAACCTATAAGTAGAGTGAAATGCTAGACTTCCACAGCTTAAGAGCTGGTTAAGTGAGCTTTAGATCCACACACCCCAGGCCTGGATACTCAACTAAACAGCTTTTTTTTCTCTTGAGAATGCATTATGGAATCAGGTGATTCCTTGACTTAGTGTCTGTGTGCAGGTCCATAGTACTAGCCTAAAGGACTAGGGGAGATGGTTAGGGAGAAGATAATTGAAGAGGAAGACCCAGCTGAGCTACAGCTGCTGCTGTTCTACATGGAACACATATGTACTATGATTTATCGTTGTTAGTCTCCTGTGAGGCAAGGCATTGCTGCCTGCTTCTCAAATGAGGAGGCCAAGTGGCTTGCTGAAGGTTAGCAGCTGTGTAGCAATGGAGCTGGGTTTGAACCCTGATTGCCCTCTGCATGGCCCTGTCCCTTACTCTAGCTAGGTTTGAACCCTGATTGTCCACTGAATGGCCCTTATTCCAGCTGCTCTGAGGGCACTGGTAGGGGCCATAAACCTCCATTCTGGAGATGTTTTACTTTAGCAGCCATTGGAACTGACTTTGCTTGATTTTGCAGAGACTTTTACTCAAACAGAATACCTGGTTCTGTTTAATCCAGCTTGTACCACTGACCCTCCAGCAGCCTTTGCGAGTTGTTTGCTTGCTTATGAAGGAAGAGCTGAGGCTAAGTTTTCTCTGATGCCCTAGCTGTGCTAGTCCAGAGGTGTTTGTTGGGTGAGTGAGACTCTTAGTACTTCAGCTGAGTTTACCCTTCTCTCTTGGGTGTTCTCTGATGTCCATAGATGTCCTGCCTTGACTTTGGGTCACAACACAATGGGGTGTTTCCTAAGATATCTTAATGTACTACTTTGCTTCTGGGGCTGTTTGACTTCTCAGCATTTCTTGTCCTTGGAGACAATTCCTGGTTCTTTGAACATACCAAGCACACCCAAACTGTGAGATCTATTAAAAGCCCATTCCTTGTAAAGTCAAACAAAACATGCTAGACTCAAATCCTAGATGCTTAACCACTGAGTTATGTATGCTTTATTTTATGTTGTTGTAATTTTAAATGTTTTAGAATTTAATGTGTGTTTTAAATTTGTTTTTGTTGCTGCCAGTACTGTAACTTGGGGCTGCGGGTGTGCTCAGCAAATCTGCTCCCGAGCTGCTTCCCCAGCCCTGCCCTGAAGTTTAAAAAGCTGAGAATGTGTTTTATCATGAAGTAGGGAAACAGGAGCACACTGGCTGCCTGGGAAACTGCTGCTTGTGCTTGGCAACTGTTTCTCTCAGAACCTGACCCTGTGACCCCAAGCCAGGGGAGAATTTTAAGGCTCTTTTGCCATCTTGTAGACCCAGTTTGTGAAAATGTACTCGACTTTGCTCACAATCTAAATAACTTTTGAAATCTGAAGTGAAGAGCTTGCTAATACAGAAATCAGTTTCTGCATTATCGTACAATTCCATTATGGAGCTTGATGTGTTTCAAGAGAACAGCTTTAGACTCACTACACAGAGATGTGAATTGAAGCTTCCATACTGGTAAACTGATCTAATCTGTTAGAACTTAACTTCTCTGATCTGGACAGTGGGAATCCACCTCAGGGTCTTACCACTAATACAGCAGGTGTCGGTCTCCCTTTTATTTCTGATCTAAGTATCCCATGGAAACTTGTTTCCTTTTGCTTTACTTGCCTGAAGCAAGTTACTTCTGAGTTTTCAGACCCTCTGCGTCAGAGAACAGGGCCAGTTGCTGCTGTTCTTATCTCTGAGAAGCTCATCTCATTCCCTCTAACCTTTGTTGGATTTCATTTTCTTTGATTTTGTTCAACTACATGGCTGCCTTTTTCCCAGGCTGAGTCCAAATTCTTCACATTCCTCTTAAACCACAGAACTGGCACAGAACTCTAGCAAATAGCTGATGAGGACAATGTGTATTTGGGTGGTGACCACATGTTATGTAACTGCTAATACAGACTAGTGTTAGAATCCCACTTGCAGCTGCAGTGCTGATTCCCTGACCAAGGATACAGTGCTGGGCACATGGCATTCATACCCCATCTCACATCTACTTCCTTCTCTGAGTGATCTGAAGCACAGTAAGCTTACAGACTGTGTCTTAGGCTCAGACCTTCCTCCAGAGCTCCAGTCTCAGAGCCAGCTTTGTTTGATGAATCCATAGGCACATCGAATGGACATTCACATCCAATGTTCACACAAACGCCTAGTCTTTCCCACAGCAGCTCTACCCACAATCTTCCTTGTCTCAGTGAATTGCAATGTCCCTTCCCAACTTTATCAGGCTATTTAAAACGTCCCAGCAACTCTTGATTTCTTTTTATCTGTCACACCAAGATCTAGTTTGTTTGGAGTCCTGATGACTGTGCTTGCAAATCATACTTGGGATTATAGTAGCAGCTGCTATTCCCTTCCTGTTCCAAGCCT